ATGTTGACAGGCATTGCCCGGCCCGGCCCGGCCCCGCCCGGAGGAGGCGCCCGGGCGGCGGCAGCGGGAGGGGCGGGCGGGGCGCTGTGAGGGGAGCCGGGGTTCCTCCGTCCGCATCTACAGGGGGTAATAATTCACACAGCTCCTCTGGCTCGGCCGCTCAAGGCTCTTCCATTAAAAACAAACGAGCAGCCCACCCCAAGCCTCCAAACCGACCCCCAAACTTTAACAAGCTCGTCTTTGTTTTGCAAGTAGGCAAACTGATTTTTTTTTCACCGCGGGAAAGCGATGGGTCCAAGAGCAGAGCCAAGTGGCTCCTGACTCTCGTCCTCGCTCATGGGACCACAGATGCTTCTTCGGATATTTGGGTTCATATGAAAACGGGCCAATGCTCTTCACAAAAAAACAAAAACAAAACAAAACAAAAACAAACAAACAAACAAACCAAAAAAAACCACCAAAAAACCCCCAATCCTCTGAATAAATTAGACCCATGACTTTGAAGTTCGGAGGATCAGTGTGAGAAAGACAGCGAATATTCAGGGCCAAAAGATCCTCTGTTGCTTTTTTTTTCAAATGCACAGTTTCAGAGCGCATCAGAGTTCATTGAATATCATCTTCCTTAAAAAAAAAGCAGAATGTACATCAACATGATGCTGTTGCCAAAAAGGCAGACATCAGATCAGTTTATGTGTTTAGGAGGATAGCCTGTAGGTCAGATGAAACGAGCTGTCAGAACAGCTCTGTACTGCTGTGACTTCACTCACAGCACTGAGTGACACAGGACTGACTGAGTGTCCAGTTTATGCTGCTACAAAAGAGACAAATGTAGGAAGTGAATCCACAGAGGGGAATAACTACCTTGGCCACTCAAGCAGAAGGATTGAAAAAAACTGCAGCTTTTGCTCTGGAGGAGAAGGAATTGAGGGAGACGCGGCAACTGAGTCCAATTAAGTACAAAGATACTTTGAAAAGGAAATTAGTACCTTGTATGTGGTGGAAAAGAGCAGAACTATCAGCTGATCAATAGTGCCTGTCACTACCTGGGCAATGAGGGGAGGACCAGGAAAAATACTGGCTTTCTGGTCAGTGAAATTGGAAACTGGCCAAAGATACCTAGAAGCTCCAAGCATTTTTTTCTTGTCTTCACTGTGGTGGTGGCTAGGTGAATATCTTAAATAGCACCAGTTACAAGTGGGGAAAAAGTCATTCTATATTTCTAAGCACTTAGGCAAAGTCAAGGTTTTCAGACCAGTTAGGGCTGATGAACTTCATGCTATGATGAGAACTGGAGAACTGGAGAAAGGCCCACTGGCCATTATCTTTGAGATATCTAGGCAGTGGAGAGGTTCAGAAGATTGGAAAAGCTCAAATATATTGGCCATTGAAAAAAAGAAATCTGATTAATTACAGGCCAGCCAGCATTTTTTTACTGCCTTCCCCTGTGACACTGGAACAAATAAGTATTATGTAGACAACTCATGTTTTCCATTTGAAAATAGAAGATATCAAGCTAAACCAATCTTTCATGGCAGACTTGTCCTTGTGGTCAAGGAAGTAACAATAGATATTAAATTTTTGATTTCAGTAGGATTTTCACTCTGTTTCATCTTACAGTCTAAGAAGCACATTAGGAAACATGGGAAACTGGATCTACTGAAATCACTGTTGGGAGTAGCTGATGCTGACTGGAAAAGTCTAAGATTAGTTTTGATGCTATGGTGTTTATCTGGAAAGAAGTATCAAGGAGTCCTGCAAAGATCTGTTTTCAGTGCACTATTAGCGTGGTTTTTTCCCGGTAATTTATACAGTGGACCAGAAAATTGTATCTATTAAAATCTGCAGACAACATTAACCTGAGAGGGGTTGCAAAGGATTTGGTAGAAAAAAATTGTATACAAATGCCCTTGATCAATGGGAAAAATAGCCTGAAAGTGTAGAACACCATTTAATAAAAGCATGTGCTAAGTTTTGCACTTGGAAAGAAATAATGAATTCCACCAATTTAGGTGGGGAATAGTTAGACAGAGACCTCCATTTTGTCACTGATTTCCACCAGGCCCAGAACCTTCAGCAGAGTATTGGTTTTCAGAACACCTGAAGGATGCAGAGCCTGGAATAGCCTTTTCAAGAGCTGTACTATTTGCCTTTCTCATCTCTCCAAGAGTTTTTGAGACCCTGTGATATTTTAGTTCTTGCTGCCAAATTATTTTCACTCCACTTGCAGGGATGCATTGACTGTGCTTCTTCTCCTGTTGACTTTAGATCAGACCCTTTGCTTCCTGCCTGCAAGCAGAAATAGTTGTGGCTTCAGCAGGATACTCATCCACCAACAACCACAGCTGTGGTTGTCCTGGATGCTCTGCCACCAGTGCCACTTCTGGTCCTTCCAGTTGCATCAAAGTCTTTTGAAACTCTAAAGGATAAAAGGTCATCCAGCCCTTCAGAAGGAAGTTTTTTTACAAATTTTACAATTTTTTTACAGAGCAGTGTTTCCCTGTCACTGTCCTGAACCAGAAGGCCAAGCTGGTGTCATAGGCTTGTATTGTAGCTGGTATCATAAACTGGATATGGGCATACCCCAAAACCTTGTTGCAAATATTTACAAATCAAAGCTACTTCATGTCTTCCTCCCTGCTCAGTCTGTGATGTTTTTTTGACTTCTGTCCATGCTTTATCTCAATGCCTACACTCCCCTTCTCCAAGTCTTTGTGCTGTCTATTGGTCTTACTTAGGAGCAGCATTGCCCCTCTCTTCTTCTTGAAAGTCATTTGGGATTCTGCCCCACAGCATTCTTCACGCCTCTCTCTTCAAATACTCTTGCTAATCCTTGATCACACTGAGCACACATAGGATTTGGAATTTGGTAATAGCAGGTAAGTGTTATTTTAACCTTCAGGACGCCAGAAGTGTGCTTTCAAAATGAATCTCCCAGCAATCCGTGTTTGCTGGGCTGGGGCTTGTCCTGCAGGACAGCCTCGGCGTGCAAACGAGATTCCTTTTTGGTGCTGCTAAGCTGCACACAGGGCACGTCAGCCACTAACAGGTGTGTCTCCACAGGGCCAAGGAAGACACAGCCCAAAGTAAATCTCCCCACACATGTTTGGTGTGGATGTTGTGTTTCCAGCCCCAATTCTTATAATTTTAAAGGCTTGCTCCTGTTGAGCCATACTACTTGCTAGCACAGAACTGGCTGTAGATGCCACATGAATTTCAAAGTTGTAAGGAGAGCAGGCAGGAAGACCTACTGTCAAAGAATTGTGTCTAAAACCGCAGCAGATGTCACATTTTGGACAGATGAAGTGAACCATACAAATCTGGACAGAGCCCTGCAGAGGAGCATATTCCTTTGAAAAGAAGAAGATGGGATTTGATTCTGAAAACAATTTATTTCTAGCAACCTAATGTCACAGGAGTCAGCACACATCATGCAACCCCCTCTTGGTGCTTTTCCCATTCTTTTAGAGGCCACAAACAAATGACCTCTGATTTTCCAGGTGGTTTGTCCTTTGGAACCACAAATGTAGAAGGATCAAGGCTGGGAAGGAGTTGGCATTTCTATGGCTTATCTGAAGCTATCACATACTTTTCAGCTAAATGTGTGCACTCTCAACCTGTGGCTGCCAGCTGCAACATTTTAGTGATCCTAGAGCAAACAGTAAAATATCAGTCCATCAGCTGGACAAACGTGTACTGATACAGAATATGCTCATCTACGCATATGTACCATATACACCTCGCTGAATATATATATATGAGTATAGATATTTATGTATATTCACAAATAAAACGAGATGTGCATGGTGCATACATATATATAAATATATATATGTTCTTGTATGTACATAGATATATGTACATACAATATATTACATATATATATGTTCTTGTATGTACATAGATATATGTACATACAATATACATTGTATATACATACAATGTACACACACATATATGTCTATATACACATATATGTGTATATATATATGCATATATATAAGTACATACCATACACATATCGTTGAATATATATAAATGTACAAAGATAATTAGATATAAATATAAAAATATAAAATATAAATAAATAAATAAATAGATGAAATATAAAAATATAAAAAAATATAAAAATATAAAAAAATAGATATATGTTTATGTATTTTTGCCAATACAGCGGGATGTGTATAGTACACACCGTATACATACACACACCGTTTCACGGCCGGCAGAGGGGCACACTCCACGGGAGCAGTGCGCGGCGGGGCGGCCGGCCGTGCAGCCCCGGGGGAGCAGGTTGGGGAGCGGGCGGTGTATATAAAATATATAAAAATATAAATAAATAGATATATGTTTACGTATTTTTGCCAATACAGCGGGATGTATATAGTACACACCGTATACATACACACACCGTTTCACGGCCGGCAGAGGGGCACACTCCACGGGAGCAGTGCGCGGCGGGGCGGCCGGCCGTGCAGCCCCGGGGGAGCAGGTTGGGGAGCGGGCGGTGACCCGGGCGGTGACAGGGCCACCCTGCGCTCAGCCGCTTTAAGGCACTCCGCCGCCTGGCCCTTTAAGGCTGGTCCCGCCCCGCCGCGCCAGCCCAGCGCGCCCGGGCGGCCCCAGGTACGGAGCGGGCGGGGGAGCCCCGCGACCCCTCCGGGCGGCGCCGGGCGGAAGGGTGTCCGTCCGTCCTCTGGCGGGCCGGGCCCGCGGGGGAGGCGGCGCTGGCGGGCGGCAGCCGGGTCGGGGTCAGGCGGTCGCTCCGCCCGGCGCTCACCCGCTGTCTGTGCGCCCCGGCACCAGGTGCAGGCGCGGCGGGGCTCGGCGCCGACCCTCTCTCGCTCCGTGCCCGGCGCCATGGCCATGAGGGAGCTGGTGGAGCCGGAGTGCGGGGGCTCCAACCCCCTGATGAAGCTGGCGGGACACTTCACCCAGGACAAGGCCCTGCGGCAGGAGGGACTGCAGGGCCCGCTGGCCTGGCCCCCCGGCGCGCCCGAAGCCGCAGCCGTGAGTATCGCTCCGCTCTGGCTCCGCGTCCTGCCGGGGAGCGGGGCTCTCGGTGCAGCTGGGGTCGTGTTGTGTTTTTTTTTTTTTTTTTTTTTTTTTTTTTTTTGCGGAAAAAGGCCCAGGGATCACCCGAAACAGGGTTGTAGGGTGAAGGCACGGTTGTGGGCACTCAGGGGATGTTGGTGGCTGTGGTGAGCTGTGTGCCTTGCTGTCACAGGCCCTAAGCCAGACAGTAGTGGGAGGAGGTTGGACAGGATCCCTCAAAGTGTTCCTGCTCCTTCAGCTGGCAGTTAGTGCAAGAAGAATGTTGACAGGCATTGTATCTTCCTCAAGGAAGTGGAAGATACAATCTAATTGGTTCACACTCTGTGTGTGTAGAGAGGGGCATGGGATCGATGTTGACACCATTGCCCACTATTCCCTGCAGGTATCCAAACCACTGGGAGTAGCCACTGAAGATGAGGTAAGAACAGATTTATTGGTCTCCTTGTAGCTTTTGATTAATCTTCTTAAAGTTTTTCTCATCCACACTGTTTGTTATTTTACCCTTTTCCTGATACTAATATTTTTTTTCTGACAAGCCCTTCTCTCACACTCCATGGCTCTGCCTGTTCATCTTCTGTGCAATGTTTGCAATCCATCTCTGTCTTTGGCAGCTGGTTGGAGAGTTTCTGCAAGCTCAGAATGCCCCTTTGCTGTCCCGTGCACCCCAGACCTTTAAGATGGATGACCTGTTGGCTGAGATGCAAGAGATTGAACAGTCAAGCTTCCGACAGGCCCCTCAGCGAGGTGAGGGGAGCTGAAGTAGGTGGAGAGCTGGAAAAGATCTTGATGTTTATGGTTAAGCTCCTAGCAGTGTGGTTCCTATCTTTTGAGCTCTTCTGAGATTGTATCTGGAGTATTGTTTCTGGATTTGGGCTTCCCAGTACACTGATCTACTGGAACAAGCTCATTGGAGATTGATAAAATACTCAGGGGAGAGGAATCCGTGTTGTAAGAGGAAAGGCTGAGGGACCTGGACATTTTAACCTGGGGAAGAGAAGTCTGAGGGGCAGGGGGTGAAGTGTTTTGTTGCTATCTTTGGCAGCCATAGTCAGGAGAAGGACAAGGGGTAATGGACAGCTGCCATGGTCAGGATCTTCACAGAAATAGTCAGGAGAAGGACAAGGGGTAATGGACACAATTTGTGGAAAGGGGAACTGACTAGGTATGTGGAAACATTTCTTCCCTTGGAGGAGGCGGTTCAGTACTGGAACAGGTATCTAGGGAGTCTAGGGGATTGCCACCCATGGACAAATTCAGAAGTTACCTCATAAATGCCCTGAACAACCTCATCTCTAACTTACATGTTAGTCTGCTGTGAGAACTCTAGCAAGCTCCAGAGACTCCTTCCAAATGAAATATTTCTGTGATTTTATTCTAACGAAGAGAAAGATCAGAGGTGATTAAGGCTAGCCTGGAACTCATAAATGATGCCTTTGAGTGCTCCAGTTCTCACTTCTGTTTTTTTTTCCCCCCTCATGTAGCTCCAGGTGTGGCAGCCTTGGCACTGTCTGAAAACTGGACCCAGGAGTTCTTGGCTGCAGCAGATAATGCTGGTGATGTCTCTTCAGATTACAATGAGGCTGACTGGTCACAGGAGTTCATTGCTGAAGTGACAGGTGAAGTGTCCTTTTTTGGAATTACTGTCAAGGTGATGTCCAGTCACATGCCTGTGTGTAGTGAAGAGCTACTGAATGTGAAATTGGAGTATTGCTTTGGGCCCAGCAGTCAGTGTTTCCTGGAGCAGCCTTAATGGGGTGGAGGGTAGGAAAGCTGCTTTGTGATGGTGTTATGGTTAAGTCAAATTATGAACAATGTGGTGTAAGGGTCTTTAGTTGTTAACTTAGGTTCCTAAGGGAATTTTGGAGAAGCATGCTATTTAAACTGCTTTATAAAAGTTGTGATTCAATTGCTGCAAGTTGGAGATGGCCTTGTACTGCTTCTTAATTACACGTTTTCTAATTCCCTCTCCTAAGGCTAAATTTGCCTTTGGTACAAAGGTAAATTCTCTTTGGTGTGCTTTGGTCAAATATTTTGTGTCAGCTGTATGAAGGTAGAGGGATGTTACAGTCTGGAAACGTGCAAAGTGAGTGTTTCTGGCCCAAAGGCTAAGCTTTATTTGAAAAGCCATCCTGTGTTGTGTATAGAACTGGCTCTGGAATAGGGTCACACATGCCCTAATCTGGAAATTATGGAAAAGAAACAAGTATATGCTGTTCTCCAGGGGTGGCTACTGTAGAAAGCTGGGCAGTTCCACTCTTTGACCTTCACTCTTTACATTTTTGAAGATATAAATTAGAGTTACAAAGGTCTTTGAGAAAGTTCTGATGAAAACCTAGAGCTTGTAGGCTGTGCTTTTGACAGAGACTTGTAATGCATTGCTAATTTTCTTGACCTACATAGTATCCCACAGGGAGCAGATGAATCAGTTGTGATACTAAAGTAGAAAATCGTACATTTATCGTCACCACAGTGGCATCTGTATTAATTCACTGTCTGAACCAAGGGCTTGGTTTTTAGATCAGCATTAACAAAGGTGTGGTGGTCTGCCTGTCTTACTTTTCTCCCTGTTCTTCCTGTGCAGATCCACTGTCTGTGTCTCCTGCCAAGTGGGCAGAAGAATACTTAGAGCAGTCAGAGGAGAAGCTGTGGCTGGGGGAATCAGAAGATCAGTCTTTGGCAGATAAATGGTGAGTCTGACTTCTCAAGGCGAGCTGTTGCTGCTAGGCACTTGGGGGTGGGTGAAGCACTTGGAAAGGTGATAGATATCTGCTGTGGCCTGAATGCTTTTGAGTCATTTTACTTAGACTGGTGTTCTTGGGCCTTTGGTGTCAGAGAAAGGTGGAAACAATGCTTGCAAACTGAAGTTTTTAAGAGTGTAGCTTTTCTGTTCTCTAGTTCCAGGAAGATATGTTGATCATGTAGGCTAAATTAATCTCATGCCTGATGCAAAGCTCCTTAAAGTAACTTCAGGAGTGTGTTCAGGAACTTTTTTTCTGCAGCAGATGCTTTTTGCTAGACTCTACTAGTTGTAAACTTTCCAATGTAATTCTTCTTATCTGACAAACCACTTCCAGCCTTTCCTTTACATATTTCTGGGTTCAGCCTTCTATGTATTATTTGAACCTGGTTTTTTGTGGTGGGTTAAAGATGGATCATCTCTCTGTAGGTACCTGTTGAGTATAATCAAATTTTTCAGTTAAAGAAGCAAAACACACACAAACAATTTGGGCTTCTAAGATGTTTCCTTACAAAATTTTTGTATATTTGGGCTCTTGTTGCACCTGGCTTTTGGTTTCTCTGATAACTTTCCACAAGTAATGGACATTCTTGAGTTATTTCCACCACTTCCCAAACTTCCCCAAGACTGAAGGCAGTGATAACACCTCAAAGTGGTCCTATCCTGCTGTAAGCCAGACAAGACATATTGAGTTGTGTCATTGCTGTAAGCCCTCAACCCTCTGCAGAGCTGATGCTTTTCCATGGCACTGTTTTCCTCTTCAGTGGGCATGACCTACTTTCTTTGTTCCTGGATATATGACCTTGTTTCTGGTAGTGCTAAAACTTGCAATGTCTGATGGCATGTGAGCTTGGCAAAGAATCCAGACTGCTCTGCAGAACTGTGCTGACTCTGTAATTGTTTTATTTTGCTGCTGTTTGTGTTAGTCACTTGCTCAGCTAACACAGTAGTAATTTTGAATTTTTGCAGACGGATAATGGTACTGAATCACTTAGGAGAAACCCTGAATCTCTGAGGAGGGGTTGTATCCCTCAATACTGTTGTCTGCCCCATTGTGTGACTATTGTTGGTGAAAGAGTTTGCTGTTGCCTGGTATCAGACTGTCTCTTTCCCTTTTACTGCCTTGGAACACAGGTATGAGGAATACCAACCTGAGGATGATCTTAAGAAAACTGTTACTGATTTCCTCTCCAAAGTGGATGATCCAAAACTCAAGAATACTGAGGTGAGAAATCTGACTGGGGCTGAGATTAATTATCACTGTGAATTAGTAATTACATAATTAGTAGCAATTATGTTACTGTGAATAAAGGGTGTGGGGAATTGAGAAGGGTGAAGGTAGTAAAGGAATAAAGCCTCCTGTTGTCCCATGTTTCCATTTCTTCCCTGATGCCTGGGAGTTGAGCCCTACAATCCACTTTAGATATTATGCATCTCCACTCTTGTGAAGTGTGGTCCTTCCCACCTTTCTGGACCTGTCATGCTCACTCTGCAGAGAGAAGCCCTCTTAGTGAAGGAGGGGGGCATGGGCTGAGGGCTTGTGGGCACAGCATCTGCCCAGCTCCACCCTTGTTTCATTTCTCTGCCGCAGTTCCTAAAGTTTGTCCGCCAGATCGGAGATGGGAGGGTATCGATCGAAGCTAATCAGGTGACCCACAGAGACCAAGAGCAGGCAGAGCAATGGGCAGCTGAGTTTATACAGCAGCAGGTAGGAGCCCCAGGCCTGTATGCTCTGAAGGAAGAAAGCATTTTGCCACAGTGCACAGTCTGGGAGCAAAGGAAAATGGCAAGTCCAGCTCTCAGCAATGCTGAGGGAGACAAGGGAGGGGCTGTTGGGCTCTTAGCAGAGTCTAGCCAGAAGATGGGAATGTATCTGGACAGTTTGAGTTTTCTCGTCTCCCACAGCATCTGTGAGGAAGAGGAGATTCAGATTAATTCGTTTCCACTTCATAGGCCATCAGTTCTTGCTGATGGGGAGGAGGGGTCATTACAGACCCTCCTGCTGTTTTGGGACATGCCCTGAGGTTGCCAAATTCTAAAAAGAAAGGTGTGTTTCTGTTTCCAAACTCCCAGGGGGCATCCGATGCCTGGGTGGATCAATTTGCGCGATCTGGGAACATGTCAACTCTTGATACGGAATTTGAGCAGGCAAAGGCTGCTGTGGAGGTAAAGCTGGCTGAGAAGGAGGGCTGGGGTGCCAACTGAGAGCTCTTGGTAGGGTTACCTCTTTCCTTTGCATGCTCTGAGGAGGGCTGGAAACATTCAGGAGGGAGTTCTCTGGCATGTCTATAGACCTGAGCTTTTGGCTGAGGTACTCCAGTCACACTTTGTTCTCCCTTCAGTCAGATGTGGAGTTCTGGGACAAACTCCAGGCAGAATGTGAGGAGATGGCCAAGAGAGATGCAGAGGCTCACCCTTGGCTCTCTGAATATGAAGACCTCAACTCCTCATCATACGACAAGGTAGGGGACAGCAGGGTCTCTCAGCCCTAGCACTGTGGTGGTCTGTCCTGGGGAGACAAGCAGTGTGTCTGCCTTGCTCTGAGCTCCACAGACTCTAAATGCTGCTGGGATTCCTTCTCACGCTGATGCTTTGCTGTCACTTACATCCTTGTTCCAGATCAGCTAGGGGTTAAATACTGTTTTCACTTGGGTTTGTCTGCAGATGTTGTCTGGTTCTTGTCCAGCACCATATACCGGTGAATACTGGGGTTCTTTGCAATGAGTTCAAGTGTTGTATCCCCTGGCCCCATCCCTGCCCCACTCCCCCATTCCCCTCCAAGCTAGTAAGATACATACTAAATGTTTTGTCTCTCTATCAATGTAACTCCAGGTTTGGTTTGGGGGATTTTTCCAGCATAGGAAGAACCACCCTTGCTCTCAGATCTGCTACAAATTAGCAATGAGGATGAGGTGCTGGCTGGCTGGTCTGCAGCTTCAGTGTTCCTGATGCAACAAGACTAGACTGTACTGTGCTGTAGAGAGTGCTCTTCTCCCCAAGCCTGTCTCCTAGCTTTAGCCCCTGTGCGTCTGTCTGTCCTGCTAGGGTTACCAGTTTGAGGAAGACAATCCCATGAGGGATCACCCAGACGCGTTTGAAGAGGGGCGGAAGCGCTTGGAGGAAGGTGACCTCCCCAATGCTGTCCTGCTCTTTGAGGCTGCAGTGCAACAGAAGCCAGATCATATGGAGGTGAGTGACAGCAGGGACAACAGGCTGAGCTGTCAGGACAGCTGTCCCTTCAGTGTTATGACCTGTGGACAGTGTATGAAAACATCTCATTTTTCTGCGGCCCTGGGCTTGCAGCTGATGTGTGTGAATCCTCAGGGAGCCTCTGAGGGAGGAGGTTTCTGACTTAAGGTCAGTTACAGGAAGCACAAAGTAATCTGGCCCAGAGCTGTGTAAAATCTTTGGAGCACAAGACTGTGCATGGAGCCAAGGCAAGGAGTTCTCATCTCTCAAGTTGCTTCTGTGAAAGTCTTTATTGGCATTGTGAGTTTGGAGGAGCTTATGGCGGATCAGTGCTTCTGTATCTGTATTAAAATCTAATTCTGAGAAGCTCATTAGACCAGGGTTCTGACCAAGTCTTTCATCTAGGTGCTAGGAAAAGATGTGACCCAAAAAGGTTGGGTGTTTTCACAGTCTTAATTGAAGCTGTGGGCCAAAGAAGGATTTTTACTCTGAAGACAAAGTTCCAGCTCCTTATTAAGTGAATACTTTTTTCCATAAATCACTTAAGCTTCTGCAGGATGAATTGAGAAATAGAATAGCCTGTGTGCCTTTTTCCAGGGGGAGAGGACATGGATGTTCTTGGGAAGCATGCAAATACACTCATGTCATGCCTTTCTGGAATGCCTGCCTCGAGGATCCAGGGCTGCTAAATTTTCAGCATGTCTTGTTGAAGCCCTGCTAATTATATGTGACTGGACATACATAATTTGATTACCCTGAGACTTAAGTGTGACATTTTAGAACAGAGGTTCTTGGCTTCTGAGAATAGCCATTTAACTTTCTAGGGTACTGGTAATAGGTGAAAAGTAAGCAGGAGGTTTGAAGATCTGCTTTAGCTTTAAAGTGGTCAAAAGGTGTTAATGTCCTTCTAGAACTGTTGCTTTTTTCTCATAGACAGTGTGGGCTGTAGGCTGAGCATAATGGAGTGGCAATTGAAACCTTAGGGAAGAAATCTTGAGCCATTTCTGACTTAGCTGTATTGGAAACATTCTGCATTCTTCAGGGAAGAAATCTTGGGCCAATTCTGGCTAGCTGTATTAAAAACATTCTGGATTCTTCTACTGTGACTGCAAATTGTACAGGAGAAGTCAAGACTTCACAAATGGTACAGTGATCAAATAGACATGAACAATTGCTCTGAAGGAAACGTCACATTTGCTTTGGTCCAAGTCACAACTTTACCTTGAATCTCTTCAGCTCTTCTGCTGGCAGAACACTGCAGTTCTTGCTGGTCAGCTCTGCTTGAATTGTAGCTAGCTATATGTGGTGAGGCACGAGAGATTCAAGGGTGTAGATTGCCTTCTGCAGGACTTCTGTGTCTTTGCTAATGAAACAATTTCCTTCCTTGAGGCAGTGGCTACCTCATTTTGTGACTTACGTTCAAAAAGCAGGTACATCATGCTGACAGTCCCACCTATTATCTAGCCTATTTTGGACCAGGGGTGTGGCTATCAAAATAAAGTGAACAGATACTTTGGATTTGGTGCCTAGTTAAATATTCCTTATATCACTGCTTGGAGGTGGAAGTAATTTTCATCTACTGGTGTCATGATGATTGGAAATTCAGTAAAATTAATAGTGCTTCTACTTTCAGGTCTGAAAGTCAACTCTCAAGGTTACTACTTGCTAGTGGACCACTGCACAAGTACATACAGCTGCCTGCCTCAGGGGTCTCCTTATTATTAGCACTGCTGCTATGCCATTTTGTTCTTGGGAAATAGGAGATCTGCATTTTCCTCCTTCCTCTGCAGTTTGACCACAGTTAGAAGTTAAAAGTGGAGATTCTGTGATCTAAAAGTGTAAAACTAGTTGCTTTATGATAGTGTAAAAGTTGCTTTATGATAGATTTCCAGGTAGACATTAATTTCTGTTCACTATAACAATGCCAGTTTTGCTGTCTTTGAAGCACATGCTACAACATTTGTCTGTCTTTTGAGAGGAACTTAGACCTGTGGCCCATGTGTATACTTTGGTCTATTTGATCTCATTCTAAAACTGTGCAGGATAAAATGCTGGATTTAATATCTGTGTTTGTGGCTTATTGACTGATTTTTTTCCTCTGTAAGTCTAACTTTGTACATCTCTGTCTTCCCCAGGCCTGGCAATATCTGGGAACCACCCAAGCAGAGAATGAACAGGAGCTTTTGGCGATCAGTGCTCTCAGACAGTGAGTATTGCTGCAGAGCTGCTGAGTGTGGCTTCTTGTTGGGTGTGTAGGGCCACAAGAGTGACATGGCTGTTATGGGGTGCTCTGGCTTGATTGTTTTACCTCCTATGTCTGGGTGTCTCCTACACTGATTTAATGCTGCTTTCACTTCTCTTTCTTTGCCCTGCAGGTGCCTGGAGCTGCAGCCTGGGAACCTGACAGCTCTTATGGCTTTAGCAGTCAGCTTCACCAACGAGTCCCTGCAGAAGCAGGCGTGTGAGACCCTGCGGGACTGGCTGCGCCATAAACCGGACTATGCCCACCTGTTCAACAAGGAACCAGAGGAGAGTGTCTCAGGGACAAACCTGGGGCCTTCCAAGCGTGTCCTGAGTTCCCTGCTCTCTGAGTGAGTTATGGGTACAAATTCCAGCCTTCAGCTGAAAGGCTTCTTGGAGGGCTCAGCCTGGTCCAGGCAGGAGCAGAGCGAGCAGCCCGAGGCCAGCTCTCTCCACAGTACACCAGTATCCTGTTCTGTGCTTTTCCAGCTCACTGTTCATGGAAGTGAAGGAGCTGTTCTTAGCAGCTGTGCGCAGCAACCCCTCAACTGTGGATCCTGATGTCCAGTGTGGCCTGGGTGTCCTTTTCAACCTCAGTGGCGAGTATGAGAAGGCTGTGGATTGCTTCAGTGCTGCACTCAGTGTGCGCCCCAATGTAAGAAAGGGGCAGATGGGGGGTGCTGGGGGCACTTGGAGGTTTATGGGTGAAGATTTGGAGGAGGTGCTGCATGTACAAGAGGTGCATATTTGGAGTGGAGGACTAAGACAGACATATGGGGAAGAAGTGGCTGGCTTGGAGCTTTAGGAGATCCAGTTCATCTCAGCCCTTTCTCTGTGCCCATTCCTCCAGGACCACCTTTTGTGGAACAAGCTGGGTGCCACCCTGGCCAATGGGAACCGGAGTGAAGAAGCTGTGGCCGCGTATCGTCGGGCACTGGAGCTGCAGCCAGGATACATCCGCTCTCGCTACAACCTGGGCATCAGCTGCATCAACTTAGGCGCCCACCGGTGAGCACAGGGTGGGCAGCTCTGCTGTGACCTGGGGGTTTGTGCGTGTTTGTGGGAGACACACTGCTGTAGGTTATGAGGGCAGGGCCACACCGCCTGCAGCCTCCTCTTGGCGTAGGAGAGCAGAGCGAGTGTGTGGACTCTGCCCAGAGATCCAAGTGTCATGCAGTTACAGGTGGAGTAGAGGCCATCTGGACTCCTGATTCTTGTAGAGATAAAAGGGGGACCTCTGGTTCTGGAAGGGGTAGGATCTGGGAAGAGGAGGAAACTGTTTTGGAGGGGAAATACTTAAGAATCAAATGGGGAAAGGAGTGTGAGATGAACCATCTGCTCCTGATTCTTGTAGAGAGAAAAGGGGGACCTCTGGTTCTGGGGAGGGGTAGGATCTGGGAAGAGGAGGAAGCTCTTTTGGAGGGGAAATACTTAAGAAGCAAATGGGGAAAGGAGTGTGAGATGAACCATCTTTTCCACTAAGCATCTGAATGTTCTCCTGTTGACAGTGAGGCTGTGGAGCACTTCCTGGAGGCTTTGCACATGCAGCAGAAGAGCCGAGGTCCGCGGGGGCAGCAAGGAGCCATGTCTGACAACATCTGGAGCACCCTGCGCATGGCCCTCTCCATGCTGGGGCAGAGCGACCTGTATGGGGCAGCTGATGCCCGTGACTTGCCCACACTGCTGAAAGCATTTGGCCTCCAGCAGTGACTCTGGGATAGGCTCCCCTGCGAGTGCAGCGGTTGCCGAGCCCAGCAATGACCTTTCTTAGGGATAAAATGTTCACAAGGGTTCACACACATCTTTGCCCTGGTAGGGCAGATCATTGGCAACTGTTTGTTTTTAAGTACCCCCCTGGTGAAATGTGCAACTTCCCCAACCTGTCTGTTGTGGCCTGAGCATTTCTGAATGGTTCACGTTATCACTTCCATGATGACTGACACTGCTGCTTCACAGATGATCAAAGTGGGGAAGACAGCAGCATCCTGCCCTCTTGCAAGACTGCATTTGCAGTAGTGCCCAGCTTGGCTGTGAGAGCCATTCTGCAGACTGCCTGCAAGGGCGTGTCTGTAGTTCAGGCTGCTTTGGAGGGATGGGATTGCTGTTTCACCCAAAAGGGTGAAAATTTGTGGGGTTTGAGCATGCTTCCCCATGTATGTGCTTGCATGTGTGTATATGTGGGTTACTAGGGAAAACTGGGGCAGTAGTCCCCTTTTCTGGCCAATGACTGGCCAATGGTACAGCCAGATGCTGCTTTCTCAGTGTCTTCATGAACCTTTTAAGATGAGAGTATTGTACTGATGCTGGGGACATGGGTGGAGGCCCTGTCAGGGAAAGGGGAAATCCCGGAGTTCAGGCTTGAGAGAAGGTGATAAGAATATCTGAAATGTCTGAAATTGTCTGAAATGTAGTCTCTTCCAAAATAGTGGTGGGGAAATGGATGAAGTCTTAATTTTCTCTTGCTCATCTGTCATCTTGTGTGTAACTGAATCTTGTTAATTATAAATATCTGTATATGATTTTATTGGGGAAAATGTTTTTTTAATTGTAAAGTATTTTGTATAATAAAGGTATAAGCCCACTGCTTTTCAAAAGATGGATTAGACTCTCTCTCTGTTTCTCTCTCTCCCCTTTTGACCCAGGTTTTGTTTATTGATAGCTTGCATGCAGGTGAAGCTCAAAGGACCTCTTTTTGCTGTAGCCTCAGGCTTCAGCTCAGCAAACCAGCAGAAGAGCTTCCCTTTGCCAAAAGCTCTCTTTTTTCTTGCTCAGGTTTAGAGGTCAGTGATGCACTTTTTTTCCATCTTCTGGCCCCTTGCAGAGAGGGAAGTTGTGTTACATTTTATCACCCATTTAAGGAATCCAACTCCTGCATTTGTCAGGGCTGGGGGCTTAAGCAGGAAGCACTGCCCCTTCCTGATCCATCAGGCACCTGTTTCTTCATACCTCAACCTCACAGGCTTGTTTTTCTCTCTGCTGGAGCACAAAGTGTGTGCAGAGAACAGTATTTGCTGTATAGTTTCTGAGCTTTATTTTCCCCTGTATCTCCCATCCAGCCCTGTGGCACTACATGCCCTGTTCTGAGAGTGGGGTAGTGCATGCAAAACAACCTGCTGCTTTTGTGTTTTCTGAGCTTTATTTTCCCCTGTATCCCCCATCCAGCCCTGTGGCACTGAGACCTACATGCCCTGTTCTGAGAGTGGGGTAGTGCATGCAAAACAACCTGCTGCTTTTGTGGTCTGAAAGGAAGGGAAATGCTACTTCTGTGTCCTGCTCACCCACACTGCTGGTCAGCAATGTCTTTTTGTTTCTACTTGTCTCAGTCCTCTGTCAGATTCTTTGCTTGGTGAAATTAAACATTAATGCCTATGCTGTGTCTCATTTGCTGTCTAGCTGTTCTCCCTTCTCCAGTCTTTGCTGTTGCTCTCACCACTGGTTTCCTTTGACTCTTTGATGCACCACATTCCTCTCTGTTCGTATTCCCATTACCATTGCTTGGCCCTCCCTTGTTCTCATCCTCAGATTTCCTTAGTGCTTCTCCTCTCCTAGGCTTCCTAGTTGCCTCCATTTCCCTTGCAATGTCGCTTAACCTCTTGACTTTGTGTTGGTGTCCTTCCCTATGCCACATTTCCTCCTGTCCCTGCTGGTAGGTTAGCTGTTAGCATTTGTTAACTTTCCCTGGAAATTGTTCTCACTTTCTTCCCCCTGTCCCTGTTACATTATCTCACAGCATCTCTGCTCTGCCTTTTGCTGAGGCTGAACCTTCACCTAGGCACTAGTCCCTGTTTAGTCTCCCAGGGTTGAGTGAAGATTGAGCTGCCTCTGTCCAGGTCCTGTGTGACTGTTCTGTTGAGACCTGCCTTTGGAAGTGGGGTGTTGATACAGTGAACACCAGCTGGCTGACTGGATCCATGCACAGTTTTTGTCTGCTCTCTGCAGCCCTGTCTCTGGTGTCTAAACCCAGCTTGTGCTAATGCTCTGTGTGCATCATGATCGTGATCCTTGTTTGCATTTCCAGCCACAGTTGTACAGCAGGAGTGGGTAGCAGGTACCAAATGTTTTGGATTAATGTAAAGGCAGTGAGGGGTATTTGCATGTCCCTAATCCAGCCCCCTGCTCACGACAGGCCTAACCCTAATGGTAGGTTGGGGAGTTGAAGGCCTTATAAATGATTGTGCTCTCCACTTTTTTCACTTATCCCAGTGCACACAATGGTGGCAGGGCCTATCACCACTGAAAATTTGTAAGAGATCCCAGCATGACCTTTACCAAATTCTTGGGCTTACAGGACACAAACTAACCTTTCACAGAGCCGTAAGTGAGTGGTCAAAGAGGGTAGTTCAGTACATGTTTTGCCACCCATGTTTCTTGAAATGTTTCTGCTGTATTTTTTCCTTCAGTGTCATATTTATTTGCTTCTTGAGAACCCAAGAAGTCATAGAATCTCTTGGTCATGGCTTTACCACCCAGCCTGAAAATGAAAATGTGCTTTCAGGTCCTTATACCTCTATTCACAGTGCTCCTCATTAGCTTCCATCCTTGTCAAGGAAGTGGTTGTTCTGTCATTGTTTATTCTGCTTCACCACTGCAGTTTCCTCTCTTGAGCTGCTGAGCCTCATTATGATTCTGAGTTTTCTTGAGTTGCAACCCCCTGAGTTCAAGTTTTGGGTCCCAGGCTTTTTTTTACCTGTTGTGCCTGTGTATGCTGAGGTCTTTCTGGTATGGAAGGTGCTCAGACCAGACCTTCTCTAAGGGAGTGCTCTAGGGGTGGTGACCTGATGTGAGTCTTCATGGAAAGAGCACATTAATCCAAAAGCAGATAGTAGCTACTCTCATTTCTCTAGGAGTCTGCTGTTTGAAATAATGTCTGACTCAGAAGTTACATCAGTATGTTTGTCTTAGAGCCTTTGGTGAATTTTTTCTCTTCCTGAGCCTTGTTGATTTTTAAACCACATGGTGCCTTTGGTCTTTATGATGTCTTGTGGACGCACACAAGAACTGTTTAAATTCCTGAAGTATTTTCTTTTGTGTTTTCAGCCTGTTGCCTCTTCGTTTCTGGTCTCCTCCTTCAGTTTCTGTAAGACGTAGCAAATAGAACAGTCCTACTACAGTCCACGTGTCCCCAGGGGAGCCCTTTTCCCTACCTCTGCACCCCACTTCTGTATCTTTTATATTTTTACTTTGTTCTTGCCAGTACTTCCTTCATGTCCTAGCCTGCCTCAGAGCCCTGACCCCACACACTCTGCCACTTTCTCTCCTCCGAGTTGGCCCCTGGTGCTTGGAAGTCTTTTGGCAGTCAAGGAAGGACTGAAAGCAGCACAGCAGCTCTTCCACCTGCAGCAGCAAAGTGGCACCAGAGACAGGCCCACCAGACATGGCTCTTTGCCAGAGCAGACTCTGGCAGCTTTTCTGTGTCGTGGTCCCTTGGTCACTTAGGAAAGTGTTCCTTTGCACCCACAGGGGAGAAGAGAGGCTTTGCTGTCACTGCTCTGTTGAGTATGGCAAAGCATTGTCTGATATTTTCTGGTGGTTTTTATGATGCGTAGTTGGAGAAATGTAAAATTTTAAAACTCTGTACCTGTCCAGGACTTCAGCAAGAGTTGTAGGTGCAGAGATCCCCTGAAAAATCTGACGCCGGGTGGGTTGGGTTTTTTCTGAAGTGTTTCCATTGCTCTGTCGCATTTCTGAAGCAGAAGTGACACCTAGTGTTGAGTGGAGGGCAGGTCCGCGTCTGTCACACGTGCTTGGATGGGGACACCAAAGGGTTTAGGAGCACATCTTGCTAATTAAACTCGAAAGGAACAAAATGCTGGCTGAATTTTCTAAACGTGCAGCTGTAGATGCAAAATGTGGTGCTGGGAAGCTAAGACCTTTTGAGGGTCTGTGATGCTTTCCCCTGGCTTCTCCCCACTGCTGAGCATGTGTTTTTATGTTTGTGGAGTCCAGCTTAGCAACTCTACCATGGGAAACGATTTGTACATTTATTAAAAAACCCAAAAACCAACCCAGCTGAGTTCTGGAGTTTTGAACTGGCAGTTACTCACAGACAACCTGTTGTCTTTTCCTTCATCTGGGAAGAGGAGACTTGGGAAAGGAAATAATAGTTAGAAAAGATCTTCACTTTTGTTTTCTGGCATCTGTGTGTTGTCAAGTGGGACTTAGAAGGCTTTTGTCAGTCTGTGTTTGCTGTGCCTCTTTTTCCAGCACAATTTCTTTGGAGCTCACTCCCAGTGCTGTGACTGAATATGCAGCAGTCATCCATAGGATTCTGTCATCTCTCTTTTTGCTGAAAAAGTGGTGTTCAGTTTGCTGTACTGAAGAGGAGCAACTGGGAAGTGCAGCAAACAGAGAAAGCAAAAAAAGGGAAGTTCATGTGAGATACATGCTAAGCAAAATAAGGGCCTTTTTTTCCCCCCTCCAAGGGCTTGGTAGTGAATGCATTTATTAGCATGTAGGCTGTTCACAGTTTTGGGTTCTGTGGTCCAGTGGCGTGTTCCTATGTTGCATTTTGGGGGCTGTTTTGCTTGAGAAACAGAAGTTGGAGAGTGAAAAGTGGAAAAAAACCCCCTTTATTTTTGCAATGAAGAATTACATTACTAGTACTAACAACTTCTAAGTGAGCACCTTCTCCACCACAAAACCAAACCTCCAAAATAAAAGAATCAGTGTTCTGCTGCCTTGAGTCCAAAACTACCAGACGAAAATAGCAAACAGAAACTGAAGGGGTATACTTCATGTGTAATTTTATTGCTTTTTTAATCCTCTTGTTTTAAAGTAAGGAGTAAAAACAGATGTGTACTGAGATACAAACTAAGGTATCCACAGTGACAGAGCAGGATAGGAGCACAACAGGATCTGGGGGTTGAAGGAGTTTGTTGTTAATTAGATTTTTCTACCATTGTACCTTTTCCAGCACTGTGAAGTGGGTGCATATGTGACATCCACAGCTTTAAGTGAAATTGCTTTATCATCCTGCAATCTAGTAGTAAATAGCCCCAAAGAAATAAATAAATTAAAAAAAAACCAAAAAAACCCAGAAAACCAGTTTTATGAAAAAGATGAAAATATTTTAGTCTTTATTCTTCCCTTGGTGGAGTGTTTTTTGCATAACCGCAGATTTTCAAAGAATCTGCGTGTCATCGTTCATTTTGCTCCTTCTGTTGCTTTTTGTATGCTGAAGGCAATAGAGGAAGAGGGGTTTATCCTCCTTCTCTTAGCTTTTCACTTTTGTCTGACACTTTCAGATTTTGGGATACCACTATTTCTGCAGGAGGGGGATAAGAGGAATTTTAGGAAACATTGTTTCCCATCAATTTGCTCCACCCGACGTGTTGTGTCCAGCTCTGGGGACCTCAGCACAAGTCTCAGGCCGCGGACCAGCAGGAATGAGTTCAGAGGAGAGACATGAAGCTGATCAGAGGGCTAGAGCACCTCTCCTGTGAGGAAAGATTGAGAGAGCTGTGGTTGTTCAGCCTGGAGAAGCCTTTGGGGTGACCTTGTTGTGGCCTTTCAGTGCCCAAAGGGGCTAAAAGAGAGCTGGAGAGGGACTTTTCGATGAGGGCACACAGTGGGAGGACAATGGGGAATGACTTCAAG